TAATTATGAGTCTCAAATTTGACTCGGCTGGCTGAAAGATTTGGCAAATCTTTCCAAATGATTTCTTACTGAAAATTTTTTTAAAGGTCTGTACCTATGATGTGGTGCGTTTCCATGGAAAATTGACAACCCAGAAAATATTCTTCATAATTAAAAAAAGTAATTGCTCCCCTAAAGAACTCAGAGCTTAAATGAGGTGTAATTAAAACCCAAGAGCATTTGTGCATTATGGAATGGTTTAAGGGTTGTCTATTAAGCAAAGGACATATTAGTTTTATTCTAAAGTTTGTGTTCAATATACAATATATACTCCCTAAATACTGGATGAGGTACATACACTGGGGTAATTATGTTCATTTTGGTTTATACTAAATTTAAATTCGTGGCTTTAGAACATATGTGGCATTAGGCATTGTATTTTTATTAGGTTAACATATTTCTTCTCTTCTAAAAGCATCTCACACGCTTGAGGGCAGGGTACACTGTGTCTAACCCTCGCCCTATGCCCAGGGTCCACAGAGCCTTGAACACAACCAGGTGCTTGACAGATGTTTAGTAATAATCAGAATGACGCTGGGTTTCAACTTTCTGAAGTGTAGACTATTGAGCATGCGGCACTGTATTTTGTATGTATACATGTTCAGACCATGTGGGGGAAGTGAATTATCTTTGTTTAAACATGCTTATTAATACTTGCCATTTAATATTCTTTTTCTTTTTATGTATTTATTTTTTTGACCTTCACCCAAGGATATGGCTTTACTGATTTGAAAGAGAGAGGAATGGAAAGAGCAAGAGAGAGAAACTTCACTGTGAGAGAGAAACTTATCGGTTGCCTCCCATATGCACCCGGAACAGGGATTGAACCCCCAACTTGGGTATGTGCCCTGACGGGGAATCAAACTTTCGACCTTCCAGTGTGTGGAACAGCTCTCCACCCAACTGAGCAACACCTGCCAGACTAATGCTTGCCATTTAATTAGAACAAATGTTCTTAGGGTTGCCATCTTCCTATAAACTTATGGAAGAAAAGCATAAAGACCAGAAGAAGGGGAATATGCAGTTGAAGTCAACACACTTTGCTTGAGCGCTGACTTGGCGAAAGGCCTGGGGCCAGGAGCTGGAGGACGACCAAGATAATAAGCAGAGTCAACACTGTAAGCAAGGCCTTCACATGCATTGATTCATTGGACGCTCACAGTGCTAAGACTGATCAGGTTCTGCTATCTGAGGCCTTAAGATCTAGGACAGACTTCCTCTTTTTTCTCCTCTCTTTCTTGAGCTTTCTTGTCCTCACCCTTTCATAACCAGCATCAAAAATACTATATAGAACCAAAATAAAAAAATTAGTCTGAAAAAGAAACGTTTTTAACAAAAAAATTGTTGGGGAAGGGGTTAAAGAGAAAAGGAGAGGGAGAAGGAGGGGGGGGGGGAGGAATAGATACAGCTTTTAAAGTTTGACTTGATTCCAGTAGGAGGTAGACTATGCAATAATAAATTGAATTTTTATCAAAAACTATCTTCACAGCCTTCAGAACAGGATGCCGATCTTCTTGAATGAATGCTTCGATAAATCTGTCTTGGTTTTCAAATTTATTAACAAAACTCATTTTCATTTTTATCATCATCTTAGTTTTGCTTCAGCAAACTGCCTTCCCTTTCAAGATCCAGCTGATGGGGAGCAGTGAACAGCCCACCCAGAACTACTACTATATTGTAGTGAGAGCCGTGTGGGGAACTCTAGTCAGACACGTGGTAAATTATTATGGGTGGTGAAAAGCGGAAGTACAATGAAATATTCTTCATAACCAGAAGATCAGAGATATATTGACCAATTTTGATTTTTTAAAAAGAATTTAGCACAAGGTATACAAGTCCTCCCACATGATACATTGTGTCTTCTCTAGAAACCAGTTCTCCCCGGCTGCCCCTCAGAAATAAAACTGCCTGTTAGCTTTTGTGCCAGGAGACAGAGGAGGAGGAAAGCCAGCACTGGTGGACCAAACTCAAGCATCCTGTCGGGGGCGGTCTCACCACAGGCCTCCCACAAGCCCGGGCTCCCAGAAGGATATCCCCTCAATTTTCAAGAATGCCTGGGGCAGCTACTGCTCAGAGCATCCAAGACAAAATCTCATTGTTTTAACAGAAACGAAAAGGGCAAGGGGTTTGTTAGAAGATGGAGAATTTTACTTCTATTTCAGCATTTGGCAATTCCCGCTAGTGAATTAGAACTACATTTTGAAGAGGCCTGCTCACAGGTGCCTGACAGCTGCAAATGTGTACCTACAATTAGTGCTGGGTCACCTGAGGAGATACCACTGAAAAAATCCCCTCAGGTTGCCCCCCCACACCCTCGCCCCCGCCCCACACCAGGTCCCTGGGTCCCTGCTTCAAGCAGCCATTGGAAGGAATCTGTCTCCGGCTGGGTAAAAGACCAGATGGGAATTCCTGCTCTCAGACAGTGGCCCCAAACATGCAGCCGAAAGAAAAACCGCTGCCTGCTTTGGGCAGGATCTTCGGGGCCCAGTGGAATAAAAAAGGTTAGTTGCTTTCCTTTCCCTCTAATCAGTCCTGAGCTTTCCTCATAAACCACATGCCACGTTCCCTGGTCCATCTCATTTTGAAAGCACAAAAAGGACTTTGAACTCCTGGGGGCCTGGCATTTGAACTCCAGTTCTTTCATCTTTTCCCTCAGCACTCAGTAGAGAACAGGCCGTGTTGTGCTCATTAATTCTACTGACCAAGTAACAAGCCTGGTGAAAGCTTCTGAAAGCTCAGGTCCACTTCAGGCTCTTACCAGACGCCTGGGGAAAACGAAGAGAGGTTGGGAAGACGCCTCTTCAGTCAACCTTCCAGAGAGGACCCTGCGGTCCCTGTGAGGGGAGAGGTCTTGGCACCTCCGTGGATTCTTCTGCAGCAGAGCTCAGGGCGATCCTACAGGTACACGCTCACTGCCATGGTCTGTAACCTCCCCTGTGAGCCACTGTTCTCAGTCATCATTCCGGCCCTATCCTAAGCAGACTACAAAATTAGACACATTCCTTATTCAGGAAATTGATTGGTTGTTTTTTAAAAAAATGTCCTTTCCTTGCCAAAAAAGCCACAGGTTCAAATTAAAATCCCTCATTAACTTAATTCTTTTCTCCTACACATACCTTATTAGGTATGTTAAAGATACAAGTTTCATGTAGGCCTGCCTCTCATCTAGAAACTTCAAAAATGATGAAAGCTTTTTTGAGAAAAAATATTTTATATTTTTATGGGAAGATGTCATTGAGTTTAAGAAAATCACACTAAAATTTACTCTTTTCCTTTGACAGATGAGGGTGTGCAGGATAGAAATGCTGTGAGGAAGGTGGTTTCCTCAAACAAGCAAATTTAAACCCAGTTACGAAGCAGTCCTGCGAAATCTGTAGCGTCTCATTAGGAGGCACACAGTGACACACACATGCTAGCTTCACTTTTCAGACAAAGGCTTCAGAAAAGAGGGGCATGGTGCTTTTGTCTATGCCAAGCTTCTGAAAGATATAAATAAATGAATTTGAGGCTAAAAGGAAAATGTTCTAAGGCGGTTGGTCTCAACCTTCAGCCTGCAACAGAATTCCCTGCAGGGCTCAAATCGCAGGTTGCTGGCTCTCACCTCCACCTCCCTGACAGTTTCTGATTCAGTAGGTGTTGAGCAAGGCCTGAGAATGTGCATTTCTAGTAAGTTCCTACCCGTGGTTGGCAAACTGTGGCTCTCGAGCCACATGCGGCTCTTTGGCCCCTTGAGTGTGGCTCTTCCTAAGCCTTAGGAGTACCCTAATTAAGTTAATAACAGTGTACCTACCTATATAGTTTAAGTTTAAAAAATTTGGCTCTCAAAAGAAATTTCAATCGTTGTACTGCTGACATTTGGCTCTGTTGACCAGTGAGTTTGCCGACCACTGGCCTAGACGATGCTGGTGCTGCCGGACTGATGCCCACACTTCTGAACCACTGCTCTAAGGACCTGAGCTCCCTCTGCTGCCCCCGGACAAAGCAGCTTTCCTTGCGACCATCATTTACGCCTCCGACTCTCCCTGAAAGCCCTGGAGAACCAGGCATTCACACCGCTCTGCAGCCCTGATGACATGACCATTTTCTGAATCTTGATTTTGGCTTCTACCAACAAATTAGCAAAGGTCACCTGTTTCTGGTTACCCGACTCTTCCTGTTAAAAAGCTTGGGACAGGTGAGTGTTTATTCCCGGTACATACGAGGAGATAGATCAGATCTGTCATGCCTCTATTTGTCTTTTTTTTTTGCAATGGTGGCAACTCTGGTCCTTCCTGGGCCCTTTACACCAAACTCTCCCCCTTGGACGAGCAGTCCCCATTGGTGTCCCCTGTGTGGAGTGACCGCGTCCTTGGCCTGCTTCTACAAGACCAAGGGATTTACATAAACACAATTCAAGGACAGAGTTTTACATCAGTATCTCAGATGAGACGAAGTACATGAACCAAGTTCACTCTGAGCTTCTCTCCTTTTTACAGCTCAAGAGTGATGCCCCTTCCTTGGTACAAAGTGGGCCAACCCTCTGACGGCAGGTTCGGTGAACCAAAGTTCACTGGAGAACAGCCTAATTCTCCAGCGAGCTCTTTCAGAGGCTAGAAAGCTTCCTCGGGGATTAAACAATTCGCATGTTAGGACACTGACTGAAGCTAGATTTTATCCGCATTGCAGCATCAGTGGTGGCTACCATACTATGGAAAAGGATTTTTATGAGAACAGGTAAGTATCCCTGAAAAAAGTATAATGGCCCCAGACCTACTCATAAAGAAACAACTGGAACAATTTAAATTACTATGTTCCCAAGAAGTGTAAAGTTCTACTAATAAAAGACACAGTCACTCAGAGATGAAAGTTTAGTATAACTCGATAAAGGTGAGTTATGTGTTCATTTCCCAACGTATATGCCCCACCTGGGATTAGGAACATCACTGAGATACCTCACGGTGTGTGGCGGTTTTCAGCGTTACCTGATTCATCGACTCTCATTTTTTTAGTTGGGCTGTCACAGTTCTCATCATCTGACATTTCCATCTCCTCTTCGCGACGGATGCCCATAAGTTGCTCACTTTGAGCGTTCCGGAGCTCCTGAAAGTTAAGAGTACATGAATGTTAGTCACTCTCCCAATGATCTTTTAGTGTATTATGGCTGACACATGAGCACCTAGAATCTGCAGTTTTCCCCTTTCAAACATTGCCCCACCTAATCTAAGAAAACATTTTGAAGGGTACAGAAGGTGGGGGTGGAAAGACAGGAATCTGGTATCGGACTTGGAATAATTCCTGCTCACCAATGACTAGTTAAGGGCTCTTCAGCAAATTATTAATCTCTCAAGTTTCAATTTTTAAATTTGTAGAAAAGGGGATGACAACATCCACCTAGCAGGGCTGTTGTGAGGATTACACAGAAATACCTATCGCCATGAGTGGCACACAGGAGCGGCTCATCGCTAAGGATTGGGAATACAAGCAAGGAAACGTTTAAAAGGCTGGTTTGCTACTGACCCACTGTACTGTGTAGCTCTAGGAATGTTTCTTCATCTCCCTTAGCCTCAATTTACTCACTGGGATATTGTGATGATCATACTTTTGAGCATAAAATAAATTAATGCATATAAGATACTTAGCCTCATGTTAAGCACATGGTTCTCCAAGTTGAAAATGCAGACCTCTATTGTTCTTCCTGCAGAATAGGGGCCCTGCATGTGAGCAGGTGGCCCTGTGTGATCACTCACACACACACACACACACACACACACACACACACACACGCACGCATGCACGCACCATTCATATATTCAAATGGTCAAATTTAAAAATATGTTGGAGGGTAAAATAAAAACAGATGGCTTCTTTTTCTAGTGTTTTACATTATGGTGTAGAGTTTATTGTTTTTGTTGTGATGGTTGCTTTAGCATCACTTTATGATCTTAGGATTATATCTTACACTTTCCACCTATTACAGGAGTGACTGCAGCCAAGGCATTTAATTTCTTTGAGCCTTTGTCAACTGACACATAATTGGGGAATAGTAGTAATAAAGGCCATTTGAATGCAAGCATGCCACGTGAAAACTTATAAAAATAAGGAATTACAGAATATTATTTTACAGCTGTATCTAAAAATCAGAACACTGTAATCATGTATGTTAAATAATCATATTATTTGTATAAATTTCTATATTACGTATTTGTGAATCCTTATCCATTCTGTTCTCTTATATGTGTTTCCCCTTTTTACCTCATTTAAATTGAAGTCTTTAAATAAAGTCAAATAATTAAAATAATTTCACTTTATAATAAACCTTTGAGTAACAATAAAGCTAAAGTACGACGAGGTACTGATGGCATGACTTTAAGCATAGTTCTAAGGCCCATTCAATCAGTGTGTGCACATAGTAGTCTGTGTAATAGGTCCTTTCCGTTGTCTTCCCTTCTTAGCCCACAGATGTGTACTGCAGCATGATGGGAAGGAAAGTATTTGCGTGGTCAACTCTGAACCCTGGGAATCACCAATACAGAGGACAGGGAGGGGGATCAGCAGAGAGGCAAGGTCCCTGGGACAGGGACACACGTCAGGGCAGTCCTGATGGCCACCAGGCTGACGGCCCAGGCCTCCTTGCGTGACATGCCACCGAGTAGAAGGGGTGCCAATCCTATCTTAAACAACACCATAGGTATCAGATGTCACATGTGATTAGTGGGGAAGTCTTTAGGTTGTGGACAGCTAATTTTTCTGACAAAGAGGCCAATTCCCAAAGAGGTGGCCTGAAAATACTTAAAACAAGGAAAAGCCAGGCGGAGAGAATAAATGAGCCTGAAAGAGCCTGTTGTTTAGTCCCCACAATTAATGACAAACTGTCATACAGTAGCTGTTCTAGTGGGGGAGGGCGGCAGAAAGGAAAACAATGTGAGGAAAAAAAACAAGCTGAGGGTGTTTCCACAGGGTGCCTCTGGTTC